AGAGGGCTGAAAGCGGCATTGAAGATGTCCTTTACTTTGTTGAAAGGTTAGTTTTTTTCTTTAATTATTGTCTACCATCTTAGCTAAAATGCTTATGATGAGGTATGTTCACTCCTAAACTGCACATGATTTATTCTTATATGGCTTTTCCTTAAAGATGTATATGAACTGCTGCTGGTTAAAGACAATATACCTATAACTAAACCACCCATCTCCTCCCATACCATGGGCCAGAGGAGCATGACCACCTGGGTGAGGAGTTTTTAAATGATCAGAAAATGCCAACAACCTCCCTTCAAGAAGAAACGGATACGGAAAGCTTCTGGGCTGGAATGGCAACCCGGAAACATAAAGTATACTTTTTTTTGGCAGGTGTGGCTTGACGACATCTGTTGCTTTTATTGATGCATGCATATATTGTGTCATACATGATGCAAACTATGCATGTTGTATCTGAAGTTTGTTACAGTATTAATCAAAACAAAATATGGTATGCTTTTCCATTTTGTTCTTGGTTCATTTTCATTAGGTGACAGGAGCCAAAGAATTTCAGAGGCTTGCTGCCGTCGCCAAGCTGGTCCTGGTGTTGCCACATTCAGATGCTGATGCTGAGAGGGTGTTTTCAGTTGTGGGACTGAATAAAACAAAAACCAGAAATAGCCTGGCATTGGATGGCACCCTGTCCTCCATCATGGCCATAAAGATGGCCGACCAGGAGCCCTGCTTCAGATGGGAGCCCCCTCAGCGGTCATCAAGGCCTCCAAAGAAGGCCACAGGCCAGTACAACCTTGCCCACAAATCTTAAAAAATTACCAACCATCTTCTGCTCTCCTTCTTAATACCTCATTTTTTGTTATTTTATTTATGTGTATTTATATCATGTGTATCCATAGTTTTGCTCTGAAAGGCTACAGTTTAAGCACTTTATTTGTTGCACTTTTTTGTTTGATAATTAAATATTTTTCCCTAACAAAATTTTTCATTTTTTGCTGAACATAAATGATTAAGTGCTCTTAAGAATACAATTATTAACAGTATAGGTGAGGTTTCAGTTAAAAATTAGTTGAATACCATTGTAATCAAAATGTCAATCAACCTATGGTCAAATCTTAAACGCAGGTCTATTAATTAGGCTATATTGTGGTACATATACAGTCATTGAGGCACAGCAATAGTTTTCTGGTTGAATGTTCAGCTCAAGTCTAGAAGGCCCAACAAGTCATGAGCAGATGAACATGAATCAGAATAAGTTCAGGCAGACCACCCAAAAATCCACTGGAATGCATGAAATAACATCTACTTAAACCAACATGTCCTGGGGGTGGACCATCAGCTGTGTCTGCTTCACCGAATGTAACCAATGTTGTCCATCTCCAGTAGGCTGCCCCTATCAACGACTTTGGGCCCCACAAACCACCAGAATGCAGGTTACAACATGGGTACTATGCCAAATGAATGATCAACAAAATGTTGGTCACCCCCGACAATCTCACTCCAAGGTTTTTTGAAAAGTTGGCAGCTCTGTAAATGCCAGTGTCCTAGAACAGGAGTTGTGTTGATCAGCAGGATGGGGTCGCTGCTGTTTTGTGCGTCCATGCACTCGTCTCCGCTGAAGCTCCACCTCCAGGGAAGCTTCGTCTCCGCGGCGTTCTCCTGACAGCCTTTATCTCCCCCCCTGGAAGCGTTGTCCTACCACACTGCGCTGTGTAGGACTGCGTGCGGTCTGTCTGCAGCTTGGCGTGCCGAATATCGGTCGCCACGCCTGGCATCCCCGCTTCATACCGGGCGCCAGATCAGTTCCTTTTTAAACCCTCATCACGTCTGTGTTTTAACCAGGGCTGTGTCCCTTTTGTATTGTCGGCTGGATGTTATTTTATTGTAATTTTGTAAATTGTTTTTGTCTTTTTTTTAGTTGCTGGAGCCTGGTGGTGCTGGTGGCCGGGTGGTGGTGTCCTACCCCTTTGTTTGCGGTGTCCTGGGAAGTGGGTTCCTCACTACGTCGAGGGGTTTTGAGTTTGTTTTCTTGATTTGGTGGGTTCCCCCCACCGCCTCTTCACCTGGCGTTGTCCGCCCACCCAGCTCCAGCCCTCAAATTGTTCTAATGGATTTTCTTTTGATTTGAATTAAACTGCACTGATTTTAAAAGTATTTAAAATAAAGTTGTACTTGTTCTAAAACCGTGAACTGCGTCTCCTGCCTAATAAGAGTAAACTTACCTGTGGGCCTTGTACTGTCCAGATTATTTCTCGGGGTGAAATTCCGTGTGGAGTTGTTGGTTTTTCTTTATTTAGTTGCATTCCCCTTTTTCACCCTATCCTCGCCACAGGACAAGGCACACCGGCATCCAATCCTTCTAATCATCCTCCTCCATATAAGCCTGGGCGTCTCATCACTTCGACGCCAGATTATTCCGTCCGCTACGCTAGCAAGGGATTAGCAGGATACTCGACCTCGTTGTCTTTTTGGATGTACACTAACCTTGTTGCTTCCTTCACTCAGAACTCTCGTGTGCCCCCTCGCTCGGCTCTTCATCCTCCCCGTTGCCAGGATCCACCAGCCAGCCAATAAACTCTGTTCGTATACCCTACTACAAACCACTCTCTGCTTTGGGGTCCGAACCTTCACTTCAACGTAACTATTTATTGGTGAATAGTTTACTGACTGCTCGATAGTGTATTATTTTGATCACTTTGTTTAAGGTAAAAAGGTTTTCAGGCAGGTTTGATTTTGCAAGAGGATTCAGAGGTTTGGCAAATAGTGCTTGAAGATGAGGTTTTGAGAAAATGGGTTTAGTTTCAAGAAGTCTTAGTAATCAAAACTGTCATTTACAAATAATACAGGATACATAATTCACATTTCAAAAACACAAATACTGACTATTTGTAAAATGTATTTTGATATATAATAATGAATAAATACTTTTTTTTTCCTCGCTCAAGGTGGCCCTTTATGTACCAGCTGCCACTGGTTGTTTTTGTTGTATCCAATGTCCTTACTTTATGGAAGCATTATGAAGCTAATGCAGTGTGATGTAACCACAGCCCTGAGTTAAATGGGTTATTTGTTTAATGACACGTGTACCAGGGACCTTTTTACAAATAAAACCCCTTCTGATATCTGGACCAAGTGTTGCTTGTCTGCCTGCTACCGATCCAGAAGTCACTGTCTTGTATCCTCACATGTGGATGGAACCAGGGTTTAAAATATGTTACTGTTCATATGTCATTAGGTTCTCACATTTTCCCTGTTTACAGTTTTATTCCATCTGCTTAAGCACAATTTTGAAAACTGGGCTCAAGTTGCCAAAACACAACACGATTCACACAACTAGACAGACAAGAAGCAGAACACCTCGAAACAGAAAATACAGATTTCAAGTTGAATACTGTAAACACAGCAAATCCATTTGTGGACACAAAAGAAAGCATACAGCAAATGAAATACAGAAAAAATCATTCCTAGGCATCATCTCTTCGCCTAGCTGGATCGGGCCGTCGCTCTTCGTCCACATCGCAGGCTACGTTCTCTCTCGCCAGACAGCGAGGGAAGAATCTTCTTGAATGGCGAATCCATCCTTGCACTGACCCTGCATCAGTCTGGTTGCACACCTCCTCCATGGCTTGAATGAGGGGTATCCTGACATGGGGCTGGAGATCGTAAACCTTCCACCACCATGCAGAGAGAAACTCCTCAATGGGGTTAAGGAAGGGAGAGTTTGGTGGAAGGTACTGAACTGAAAATGATGGGTGCTGTTGAAACTAGTTTTGGACCAGAGCAGATCAGTGAAAAGATACATGGTCCCCGATGACAACGTATCTCATCTGCTCTGCCTCTATCTGGTCTTCTGGTGTGACAATGCCATGTGGCCGATGAGGTTTCTCCCTCTTCTTCTAACCTTTGTCAGGTTAAACTCAGCCTCATCTAAGAGTATGAATTCATGCCGGATTGCATCAGCATCCATTTGCAAAACTGAAAAAAACAGAACACAGCACGTTGTAGTTTACAGTAGGCCTCTGTAATGCGTATAGGCCTGTTGATGTATCAATGTACATGGAGGTTTAGTGTGAAGTGTCTTTGCACTTTACATATACAGTCAATACTGTAGTACAGCGGTTCCCAAACTCAAGAATGCCGCGGCCCAATTTGAAATCTGAAAATCTTTTGCGTCCCACTCAAACCTTTAATCACAACTCTGATCAAAACATAATGATTAATTGACCTTAAGAATTTAACCAAAATGAAACATCCGCGAGATATTTGCTCGCTTGCGAAACGTGAAAAAAGAATCTCTGCTCGCGCTGGAAGGAGTTTTCTACGCGCTCGCTGTTCTTTCTGACAGGGGGAGACGGTGCTTTCAGGGTCCGATCGATGCCGCGAGGTGCGTCCGCTCCCGCCGCCCCCCTCGCCATCCACGCCTTAAATCTTCGGCTGCTTTTAGAATAACTTATTTCCCCGTTAAGATGGTTGAGCTGCTGTAGAGAAAAGGGCGCCGTCTCTCGCTCTTTAATCTCATGAAGTGCTCGGCGAGAACGACAGCTTTGTTTCTCCGACGCGCCCTGAAAGCAGCTCCATATCTCACGCGCTTGAGCGCCGCTCAGCATCTCGCCGTCGTAGACGAGCTTTGCCGTGTTTGTCAGAGCGCCTTGAGCGCCGTGTACAACCAGTATGGATCAACCGATTAACCAATTGATCCATATATATAAGGCGCTCCGGATTATAAGGCACTGTCGTTTTGTGAGGAAGTTAAAGCCTTTTAAGTGCGCCTTGGAGTGCGGACAATGCGGTATATTGACTTTAATACCACAAGAGGGCGCCGCGTTTGTTGAACAACGACAGGCGGACATTGTACAATGGGTACAAACAATACTGATGTAGTGCCTATAGGCTGCATTTTACTGCACTGTAGACAGTAGAGAAAAGTGATTCTCACCTGTGCTCTTGGCGAAATGTCCGTATTACTGATGTTGGACAGTTTATCGGCTGAGGTTGAGCTGAACTCTCTGTCCAGCCTCTCAATGTCGCCCGGGTTTGATCAGTGTGTTCACATTTGTGGCGTTTTTTAAGGCAGTGTCTAAAAAAGGCAATTAAGTGACCTAATCTAAAATGTCTGTGTCTAATGTAGAAAAGTGTGTTGAGGGATACGGGACACACGGAAACACTGTGTAGTATTTTGCAAATAGTGTGAGTCTGAGAATGTGCTTATAGTTGTGCAGGTCTGGGCTTGTGTTTTGCTCCTTGAGTGTCAGGTTTCGTCCAAGCAGTCGTAAGAAAACAGAGGTGGTAGGACATTTTAGGACAATACTTCTTTTAGATATTTTTTCCCAATTGAACTTCTGAGACTGAGATCTTTGAGTTTTTTATATTAGGGGCCATTATGTGTTGTTGTTGGCAAAGTATATTTTGTTTGTTAGACTGTAATTTATTGCAGGCAATTGTATAAACAGATGAACATACCGGTTGAACGTGCTCCTATTGATGGTGGTCTGTCTTCGTGGTCTGGTGAGAACTGTCTGGTGCTCCCCTACCTGTCCCTCGCTTCCTGTCACCTACGTCCCTTATGTACACCCAGGTGCACCTAATCACCGCCACCTAGTGTCCAAAGTGTCAATATAAATACAGTCTAACAAACAGAATATACTTTGCCAACAACAACACATAATGGCCCCTACAAGCTGCTTGGACACTTTTGATGTGTGGAATCGACCATTTGTTGCAGTGTTGGTCGTCTAATTGTGTTCTAAATAAACCTGTCGTGTTAAGCGTTATTCGGGTGGACGTTTCTCGTCAGACGATTGAACTATTTACCAGTCTGAGTGTTGTTGTGTTCAAAAATGAAGAAACGCCGGACGGACAGAGGTCATCGCTGTTTAAAAGGTTAAATCAAATGTATTTAATAAAGGAGATGGCGTTGTGGTAAAAAGAACATCTCAGCTGAGGAGCCGCTGGTCTCAGCAACCAACAGGCCCCAGGTCAGTCCTTTGACCATCCCTAGTGCCCGTCTGTCGCCTCCACCAGCGAACTCCAGAACAATGGTTCCTACAGGTATTTATAACAATGCTTAAAGGTGTGAATGTTAGTGTCCACACCTCTGGGAGTGGTCTTCTGGTGTAAGAATACGTGTTCAAGATTTGGAGCCTGGTCGGGGTTATCAAAAATTCAGCCAAACGACTTCTCTACAGGTCAAGTATCAGCGCTGCGTTTGCAAAGGCAGGAGCAGTTCAGGCAGCACACAGGCCGGAAGAACAACTAACTAACATCAGCAAGAACATCATGTTTTATAACCCTTGAAAGACAGAGAAGGAAATATTTCTATTGGCCCTAAACTGGCGTAGAGGAGGACCTTCCACCTCCCGCATCTCAGATCCGGTCACATCCAATGTCCAGACTCCTGACTTAACGTAAACATCGTAAACAGAGTGTGTATGTTGAATAGTGTTGGTGTGTCTCTAACCCCCCTTTGGCTGGTAAATCTTCTAGTTGACCCGCAGACCTTACATTCCTCAGCCAGGACATAAACTGACTCCCCATCCTGTCAGACTCGTGTCTGCCTGCTTGGCAGATCCTGCTTCCCCCCTTACCTAACTCTTAAATCAAGACAAGACAGCAAACCCCCAACTAAGCCCATGAAAATAACTTTTGATTATCACTGGTGAGTTCAATGTAACTCGGATTTTGAATGACCCTTAGTCAATATCAGTTGTTGTGCAAGTATTACATGCATGCATTCCAGTTGATTACATTAAATCAAATACAATCATAACTGCATTGGTATTATTCTATTACAGTTGCAGAATTACAGTGGTTTTACAATATTGTCATTACTTTGATTACACAGTTTCAGAATCATGGCTGTATTCTGGTGTACACTATATGCATTTTATTCATTTCATGAACCGGACCGTCAATTTGTTTCTAATATCCTAAAGTATGTTTACCATTAAGCACACCTGACGCCCGAGTTTGATCAGTGTGTTCACATTTGTGGCGTTTTTTAAGGCAGTGTCTAAAAAGGCAATTAAGTGACATAATCTAAAATGTCTGTGTCTAATGTAGAAAAGTGTGTTGAGGGATACGGGACACAGGGAAACACTGTGTAGTATTTTGCAAATAGTGTGAGTCTGAGAATGTGCTTATAGTTGTGCAGGTCTGGGCTTGTGTTTTGCTCCTTGAGTGTCAGGTTTCACTAACTGTGTTATTTGACATTTTTGTGTCAAAGCAGTCGTAAGAAAACAGGGGTGGACATTTTAGGACAAAACCCCTTTTAGATATTTTTTTTCCAATTGAACTTCTGAGACAGATCTTTAAGTTTTTTATATGATATATTATTATTACATATTAGCAGCTTGGACACTTTTGATGTGTGGAATCGGCCATTTGTTGCAGTATTGGTCGTCTAATTGTGTTCTAAATAAACCTGTCGTGTTAAGCGTAATTCAGGTGGACGTTTCTTGTCAGACGATAGAACTATTTACCAGTCTGAGTCTCCTCATGGAATATTCCCCTTTATTCTGTATATTCTGCACTGTCTCTAAGCGACAGCTGCAGGGGGGTTACACGGACTGCAGAACTGGACCAGTACTCGGGCTGCGACGGATGACGTTTGCTTCCACACTAGAAGGTCTATTGAGAAGGGCGAGTGGACTCCAGGGCGGATGTGGTGGACGGACGCTGGATCCGTCCTGAAGCCCACTGCTGTCTGGCTGCTATGAGAGCTCTGTGACTCTGGGCCAGGAGAAGACGGGAATGAAGTGAAAATGAATGTTCCCACATCACTAGCAGGTCAACATTAAGCACAAGGATGATGACTGTTGATGGTCCACAAATCCTCACTGGCCGTCCCACCACCAGGGTTGCTTCACGTGGTGGAGCAGTGAGAAGTAAGGATGAGCCCTGTACTAGTGTTGTTACCTCCGACCCTCCTGCTGTGAAGCTTGTGTTGAAATATGAACCAGTGCAGGCGAAGCAAACGTGTCGGTGCTCGGTTCGTTCGCTGCTGATCACGTGATCAGTGACGTCCGAAGCTTCGGTCCTGCGTCACGTGACCGCTTCGATTTGATTCAACGGGCTGGAAACAGGGTTCGGGCTTGTCGGTTTGATACAGTCAAAGTCAGTGTTGCTGTAGTAGTAGTACTAGTAGTACTAGTTGTAGTAGTACTAGTTGTAGTAGTAGTACTAGTAGTAGTCGTAGCAAAGAGCAAATTTGATGGCCGCCACGTGTGGAGGTTCGACTGCGTTGGCTGGCAACGCAGACGAGACATCTAGCCTTTATATACATATCTATGGAACTACAGAAGAGGAGTTTGCTGGACAACACGAGCAGAGCTACTGAGCCACGTTACCACGTAGGAGTATTAACAAGGTGCCACTGGAGAGGTGAACAGCCCGGCTCTAAATACTGCAGGGGTGGATCATGGAATGTGGATCAGCTGTGTAGGAATGGAGCAGGATGAACGGCCACGCCTCCTCACCTGCTTCCTCTAGACACGCCCCTTTTCTCTTCTGGTTGATGCTTCAGCAAAACCAGAGCTACAAGACAAAGAGTCACACGGTCAGTTGGTAGTTTAACTGTTATCCTGCATTAGAATTAGGTCACATCACAATATTCTCTTGGCGTTTTGAGAGGGAGAACCAATCCAGCCCAGTCTGCTCATTGCTGAATGCTCACTTCCTATAGTTTGAATTCCTCCACTATTGCTGTAGGCGGTAAAGTGTATTTCCCTCGTTGTTTTTCCTTATACTCCGTGTGATGCTCGGTATCTGACAGTAAAACCCTTGAGGACCTCGAGATGTCAAAGGCACCTCTGCTTGACTTGACTTTCATTGCCTCTCACCTCAAAGAATAAAGTTTGGATGAGGAGGATCAGGTGAACATGCATTGTGGTTGAAGTACTACTTCAAATCCAGTAAAAGCACAAGCACTTCCTGGTGTGGACTTCCTGTTTCCTGCAGTTGAAAGGAAGTCCTTCCTTTTTAATTGTAATGTTCGTATTCTCCACTGAACCGTTATATTCCACATTATCATGCGAGAGCATTGCTCGTCGTGTTGTGACTTGAAATACATGTTGTTCGTGCCATCCGGCCTTTAAGCGGCCTTCACCCATTATTACTCTGCATTTATAGTTCAAGTGTCATTTCATTCTAGCGTAAACGTGCATGTTTATATTTAATACTCAGCAGTAGAGTCGTGTTGCAGCAGACCAAAGTCTGCAGACTGAGTTGTGTGAGTCACCTTAGCTACAGCTGTGCTGTGTGTAGGTGAAGCTAACCCGGACATTGTCTCCAAGTACTTTGTGTAACTCGTCTCCAATGAGACCAACAAGCCCATTTCTGTTTAATCACATTTTACAGATGTTTTCAAGCACTAACTTAATTCTCATCCTCCTGCCTATAGAGCAGTGATGAGTATTGATTTCTGAAGTTCTTGGAACAGGAAGTTGTATTTCTGTGACTGAATCGTTTCTTTGCCGTAATAACTCAGGATGTTCCACTTTATTGAGTTCATCAGCAACCAACCGTAGCAGTGATAGACCGTAGCACTGTTAAAACTGGCACTGCTGTTAATTAATATCTACTAAATAAAGAATAGTAACCGTCAATAATAATAATAAAAAATACTAAGTACAGTTTTGAATTACATTGAGCTGAATTTAATAAATGTTGTTTATTTATTAATTACATGTTACTTAAATTTGCTTCAATAAAATTGGCTGTGAATCACTGAGTAGTTTTTAATTATATTTTATGAGTAAAGTTTAATATGCAGGAAAATGATAACTTTTACTCATTTAGAGTACGTCGTTTTCAATTGCCGATTCACTCAGGAGGCACCGCAGGTACTGATTCAGGCTCTTGTCGTCTCCCTCCTGGACTACTGTAACTCTCTCTTGCAGGTCTCCTGCTACCACCATTCCACCTCTGCAGCTCATCCACAATGCAGCAGCTCCACTGCTCTTTAACCTTCCTAAGTCCTCTAAACATGGTGCTCACGTACCGTGCTGTGAATGGATGGGGTCCAGCTTACATCCAGGACCTGGTCCAACCCGACATCCCGACCCGCACTCTCCGCTCTGCATGTGATAAACTGCTTGTTCCTCCTCACTGAGAGCAAAGGAACTCAAACAGTGAGCGTGATCCAGAATGCAACGACGTAACGGTGATCCTACAACACTGTTCTCCTGATCTGGAAACTTTCTTCATCCACTGCAAACCCTTTTATTCCCCCCGTGAGTTCGCTTCATTCATCCTGGTCGGTGTTTACATGCCGCCGCTGGGCAACGTGCACGAGGCTCAGCGGACACTCGCCGACCAGATACGGCGTGTGGAGCGGACCAACCCGGACTCTTTAGTTATTGTCCTCGGGGACTTTAACAAAGGAAATCTCACCCATGAACTCCCTAATTACAGACAGTTTATTAAATGCCCACCAGAGAGGAGAACACGCTGGATCACTGTTACACCACAGTAAGCAGGGCTTATCACGCCGTCCCTCGTGCTGCACTGGGACACTCTGA